CGTGTTATTAGTATTAGCGTTAGCATTATCATTATATTAGTGCTATTGTTAATACTGTCGTTTTTGTTCGTACTCGTTTCCCTCTTATATGCTGATTACTGTGATTATCTTATTTCTCGAATGCCTATGAGTATTCTCATTCTTTGTATTATTGTTATTAGAACACATAACAATATTATTATTGTTGCTATGCGTATTATGATTATTAGTATTAGTATGAGTACTAGTGTTATTACGATAATTATTAATAGAATTATCATTATTATCGTTAGTATTAGAATTGTTAACACTATCATTACTATCATTATTATTTGTCCTCCTCCTCCTCCTCCTCCTCCCCCTCCTCCTACTGAAAAGTCATCTGGGAGGGCTGGAGCATGCGGAAGAACAGCCCAGACTTCGTGTCCTCGATCCTCGATGCTCCGAGGTCTCTGCAGCTCTCCGCGTGTCCCTGGATCCTGGGGGTCCCCAGTGGCCTCGGGAGGCCAATTTTTTGGTCAGCGCTCGTGGACCGTCTGGCAGTGTCACATCCCAGGGCCCAGCCAGGACCGGTCGCGCAAGTGCTCACGAGCGCAGGTCCCTGGCGCGCTCCTTAAGCCGCTCCTGAGTGGCGGCGAACACCTTCAGCGCCGCTTTCCGCTCGCCGAAAGCGCATTCCGCCTCGAAGAACACAACGGCCACATCCATGAGCGCAAGCCCGTCGCTGGGATCTCGCAGAAGACCCACGGCGGCCCCAGAGGCGATCTCGGCGATGAAGCGCATTTGGCGTCCGGCCGCCAGCCGCCGCGCTTCGGCCCAGCGACGCAGCGGTGGGCACTGGTACACGCCGACCGGGCTGGCGGCAGGGCCCAGCGGGCCTGGAGGCGGCCTGTCGTCCAGCTCGGCGTCGAAGTAGCGGCCCGCCTTGGCGAGGAGCGCCACAAGCGCGAGGCACCGAGCCGGGGCCGAGGGGTCCTGAACGAGCTCGCGGCCGACGAAGGCCTGAAGCACCGCCCGCGACCTGCTCGTGATCAGCCTCACTGGAACAGCGAGCCCCAGGAGCTCCAGGTGGGGCGCCGCGGCGGCGTCCAGCTGCGCCGAGGTATCGCGCCTGCAGCTGCTCGACCGTCTCCGCGCAGCCTGGGTCCAAGCCCCGCAGCGTCAGGGACGCGCGCGCATACCGCATCCGCGCCCTCGTGCCAGTCGCTCACCTCGCGCAGCCAGAAGCCCTGCCTGAGGTGGTCGGGCTTCACCCTGCCGCGGCCCGGGATCGCGAAGGTCCCGGCGGACACCGCCAGCGCCACCTCCCGCTCCCTCGCCTCAAGCCCATCGCGCCACAGGCGCGCCGCCTCGTCGGAGCACTCACGCGCGGCCAGGACGCGGGGCTGCTCCTGCGGGCGGCGCGCCGCCGCCAGCGGCTTCGCGAGGGCGAGGGCGCGGTCGATGCGGCTCTTCCTGACCGCGGCGATCAGCTCCGCGGCCGCCGTTGGCGCGGGGGAGCTGGCCACCGCCTAAAGGACTGCGGCGACCAGCTTCCCAGCCGACATCGGCGCGAGCCCCGCGCAATCGGGGCCTGCCACATGGGGCGAAGGGGGCTCGGCGTGCCTTGAGCCAAAATGGCTACAGAGCCTCCGGAGGCCAAGAATAGCACAAACATTCAGAAGAAGACGATCATCGGTTCTCAATCCCAAAACCTCGATCCTCTCGGGGCAGACGGAAGGGGGAATTGGAAAGGGGGGGTATCTCACAGACCACCCTTCGTGTGGTAAGGAGGCTTGGAGGAAGCGAGCTTGCATTTCGCTTTGCATTTCGCTGTGCACTCCGATACTAATTTCGATGTTGCTTGATTTTCGATTGCACCTGGATTTGCATGTCGATATTGATGCCGATTGCAACTTTTTGATCGAAGCTCGATTCGCTGCTTACCACGGGGCAACCACGAAAAACACCACGGGACAGGCATGGGACAATCATGGGGCAGCCGAGAGACAGCCCACGAGCCAACCCACGGGACAACCCACGGGGCAACCCACGGGGCAACCCGCGGGGCAACCCACGGGACAACCACGGGGCGACCCGCGGGACCACCGCGGGACAACCCACGGACTGCCAGAAGACAGTCACGGAACGAAGCCTTCTGTGACGCTGCGCCGGCGTGAGGGATCAGTGGAGGGCGAGAAAGGGGAAAAGAAGGGGAGCGGCAGCGTCGAGGAAGGACTCGGAGGAGTCCGAAGTGTGGCCCACGCGGGGGCGGACGCCAGTCTCAACGGCGGGAGCGAGCACGCATCCTGAAGCGAAGGCAAGGCTGCAGCGGGGGCAACTATGGTCGAAGGGCTGGAGGCACAGCGATCGACAAAAACTACCTATACACATTACAATGCCAAGTTGTGAAATCCTGCGCCTGTGGAGGAAGCATAAAAACACACACACACAATAAAAAAACGCGTTGGAAGCGGGGGCGCCCCTGGGCACTACTAGGGGAGAGAAGATGCCTGAATGTGCTTCAAGAACCGTTCTGGGACTGCGGTGGGGCTGCCCGCTGCTGTCAGACGGCCAGAGACGCCCAGCCTCGGCTGGGTCATGCCCCGAGGGCGTGGGCTCTGCCTTCCGATACCGCGTGGGCCGACCACCTCTGAGCGATGTTGGCCATCGGGGGGCGGGGGGGCCATTCGGAAACGGCGGATATACACTAACCCCACGACCATCCCTGGCCAGGGGCGCCATGAGCGCACGAGGTCCAGACACCATCCCGGGGCCCTCAGGACGGCCGTGGCAAGGGACTGGGGTGGTGCACGGCTGTCTTCTGATGCCGCCAAGGGAGCCCCCCCGACGGCGTGTACCACCTCCTGGCTTCGCCCAGGAAAGCCTAGACACCATCACAGGGCCCACACGACGGTGGTGGTGCATAGCTGGCTTCTGAAGCCCGGATGGCTTGCACCACCTCCTCCCAGCCACGACCAGGAGGATCTAGACTTAGGTCGGGCATGTCCTCCTACAGTCGGAGCTTGGAAAGAAACATAAGGAATAGCCAAGAAATGAGCAAAAATAGTCAAGAAATCACGGAAAATCGTCCCCATCTTAATTTTTCTTGCCATTACTGCAGAATCCTTCTGTAGAGGGACATGCCCGACCTATATCTAGACACCAGGGCCACGAGACGGCCCTGGCCAGGGACGGTGGTGGTGCACCGCTGCCTCCTGAGGTTGCCAAGAAGGAGCGCCTCCATGGCGTACACCACCTGCTGACCACAAGAATCCCAACCCTGCAAACCCCCGAAGGACGTCCATTGATTGTTGGTATGGGGGCGTCACGTTTTCCATCGTGGAACCACGAAACCCAAGAAACCCAGGATACCCTGGAGGCAAGCAGGGGGTTTCTTGGCTTGGCTTTCCACTGTGCAGAACGGCTCTGGTCAGGGAGGGTGGTGGCGCACAGCTGCCTCCTGAAGCCCGGATGCCTCGTGCCACCTCTCAGCCTCGCCCAGGAGGGTCCAGACACCATCCTGGGGCCAGAGGACGGCCCTGACCAGCGGTGGTGGTGATGCACCACAGCTGCTCTCTGGGGCTGCCAGGGGAATTTTGACGACATGTGCACGCGCATGGGGCCAGCACAAAATTCTATGAGAGGGTTTCTGACAAATCCACTTGTCACATCAACGCGTATGCACAGTATGGTTTGGTTGACAAGAATGAGGGGGAGCCGATAACGCGTCAGGCAGCATGGCATCATTTGCAACTTCGACTGGTCGACCGTGCAGAACGCATATGGCATCGGCAGGGGGTAGATTCAATATCTGCTTAGGAAACCAATCTGTCCGATACAACCAATGGAAAACCACGACATGACGGATTCCAGAAACCCTGGATCCACACAAATGGCATGTCTCAGGATGGCAACTGTTACTTCCGCCGGCTTCCGCCGGCCTTCCGCCGAGGAAGAGATGCCATCCCCCGTGATCCTCGAGAACAAGGCCCTTTCTGGAGCGACTCATGTGGGGTGCAATATATCGGGTGCTGACTATACAGTGCATCTTATGGTGTGCCCCTCACTGAGCGGCAGCGGGCTGAAAATCTGCGGTTGGCGCCAGATTCCTCTTCCAAGGATGCTACGAGCACTCCTTGGGAAAATCGAGGACGGAGACAGATACAAACATACAGTAATAGCAACTCCAGAATTTGTTGTTCAAGCGCCCATGAAATGAATGTTTCGACTCAGTGCATCGTAGCACTGGGGACGGCCCACGTGGAGCTCGATAAAACCAGCTGCGAAAGAATATTTGATATGGTGGTCTTCACGAGCGCTGGCTGGACTCAGTGCAACGCAGCACTGCCGAAGGCCAACTGCTACCCGATCAAAACGCTGCGCCTCAAACGCATTATAACCTTGACGAGAGCTGGCTGAACTCAGTGCAACGAAGCACTGCGCAAGGGCCAACTGCTGCTCGACGAAGCTTGATGATTGATGATGATGATGATGATGATGATGATGATGATGATGATGATGATGATGATGATGATGATGATGATGATGATGATGATGATGATGATGATGATGATGATGATGATGATGATGATGATGATGATGATGATGATGATGATGATGATGATGATGATGATGATGATGTGATGATGATGATGGTGATGACGATGCCGATGCTGAACATCATGATGCTCATGATGATGATGATGCTGATAACGATGATGATGATGATGATGATGATGATGATGATGATGAAGGTTCTGATGACGATGGTGATGGTGATGGTGATGATGATGATGGTGATGGTGATGGTGATGGTGATGGTGATGGTGATGGTGATGGTGATGGTGATGGTGATGGTGACGATGACGGTGATGATGATGATGGTGATGGTGATGGTGATGGTGATGATGGTGATGGTGATGGTGATGGTGATGATGATGATGATTATGATGATGATGATGATGACGATGATAATGATGATGATGGCGATGTTGGTGCTGATGACGCTGACGATGTTGGATTGAGCAATGGGGTGGTTTTTAATCGCTGCATGAAGCGCTAGACGAAACACTGCACGAGGCGCTGAGCGAAGATACTTCCGACAGCACATCGCGATAGTTACACGAAGGGTGGATGGACGTGCCAACGCCGCGCGTGGCTCCGCCGCAGCCTTCGCTAACGCAGCTGGCCAGAAGCCAGTCGAATGCTGGCATGAGCAGGGCGAGCACGGCCAGCTGGATCGACAAGCACAACAGGTGCTCTCGAGAGGAGAATACTTTAGCAGGCAAGCCTTGCAGCTCTGGCTCTGCTTTTCTGCCAAGCGGGGAACCAAGGGCGAATAACATCATGACGTAGCCTATAACCTCAATCGCAGTCAGCAGCATGCCCAAGCGCGTGATCGTCTGGCGAGTCGCAAAAGCCAGCTGGAGGTGGACTACAAATATAACTGCAGTGAAAGCCAGGAGGGATGCCTTCCAGAAAGCATCGGTGCGCAGGTCCGCGTCATCAGAAGACGACACAACGTACATAGGCGCGCACCATGCTACGAAGCCGTGGAAAGTCGCCTGGGCCGTCCACGCAAAGATCACCCGTGCATTGAGGCACGCCCGCTTGGGCCCCAGAGCGTAGAGCTCTGGAGAACGCAGCGCCACCTCGTCTGGAACGTCGAGATCCAAGCACAAGACGAGAACTGCACCTAGGGAAGTGGCTGGGTTGTATATTACATCTAGCCACTCGGCATAGGCCAAGTCTCCCGAGAAGAGCGTGGCCTGCGCGTGGACAATGTAGCCCACTGCGATGGCCATGCTCTTATACAGGAAGAAGCAGAGGAACATGGACAAGCGCCTGTACGATCTCCTGCCATGGCAAAAAACCAGGTTGCCCAGGAACCTGAACTGGGAGACGGCCATGTCGCTGGCTTGCACCGCTGCAGAGCCTTCCTTACCCCGAATGCCCACGCCCACGTGGGCACCCTGGATCATAGGAACGTCGTTGGCACCATCGCCGATGGAGAGAGTGATTGCCCTGGGGTTTTCCGAACGGACCATGTGGACCAGCTCCCTCTTCTGGAGCGGCGACAGGCGGCAGCAGACGCAGGAGCAACAGCGCTCGCCCACCTGGTACAGCAGCTGCCTCAACCTGACGTCGTGCAGGATGTACTGCAGGGACACGCCATCCAGCACGAGGCCCTGCTTCGAGGGCCGTCCTGGGCGACCGCCTGCTGGCCGCTCCAACAGTGCCTGGCACTCCTGCCCAGAGGCAGCGCCAACAACACGGACGAGATCGATGTCGCCGTCGAACAGACGGCAAGATCTTGCGATCTCCACGGCTGTCTCCACCTTGTCACCTGTCAGCACCCACGTCCGGATGCCCGCGCGGCCCAGGGCCGCGATGGTGTCTGGCACCCCATCCTGGAGGCGATCCTCCAGAGCCGTCACCCCCAAGTACGTGAGGCCCTGCTCGGCGGCAGCGGACACGTCTGCTATCATGGACGCGCGGCCCTGCATGGCAGCGCTCGCCGTGTCCCACGTCGCCCGCCACCTCGCGTACTCGGGCGCGCTCATCTCACGGCGGGCCACCACGAGCGTGCGCAGCCCCGCGCGGGAGAAGCTCTCGAGCGCCGCCAGGGCGGCTGCGGGCGCAGGCTCCCGCAGCAGGCCGCACATGATGGCGTCCGCGCCCTTGGAGAGCACCACCGCGCCCCCTGCGCCCGTGGGGCACACCACGCTCATGCGCTTCCGGTCCGACGTGAAGGCGAGGACGTGCGCGACGGAGAGCTCTTCCTCGAGGCCGTCGGCCCGCCGCACCCTCACGATGCTGCCAGTCCCCTGGGCCCTGCGGCTCAGCAGGCCAAAGCCGGCGGCGCGAGCCGCCGTCGCGAGCGCCACCTCGTCGGGCGACTCGCCCTGGTACAGGCCGTCCGCGTCCACCTGCACGGTGCTGCACACGGCCAGCAGCTGAAAGAAGGCCCTGAGGTGAGGCTCGGCTGTGCCCTCCTGTGCCTCACCGGCGAGCAGGCGGCGAAGCTGCTCGACACCCTTGGGTTCGCCGTCGCCCTCCACGGGCAGGAAGGATCCGAAGACGGAGCCCCCGATGCAGCAGTGAGCGAATCGCATCTCGTTCGTCGTCAGCGTCCCCGTTTTATCGCTGAAGAGGAAATCGACCTGCCCAAGTTGCTCCACCACCGACGTGTTCCGGGCCAGGGCGTGGGAGGCGGTCGCGGCGTCGCACATGAGCGGGTCTGTCTCTATCTGCCGCCCAATGGCGAGGTGCATGACCTCGAACATGATGTACAGGGTCATCGGCATCACAGGGTACATAATGATCATATACATTACGAATACCTCCAGGAACGGCAGCGGCTCGCGCCCCTCGACCTCCCACAATTGGGAGGCCACCGAAAAGTACAGGCACAGCGCCAAGACACAAGTCAGGATTGTCACAACGATGTAGTTGAGGTAGCTCTCGAGTTCGGAGGTCTTGGCGGGGGGCGGGAAAGAGTTCAGGCGCACCTTGGTGTCATTGCCGACGTAGCACGCCACGCCGACGAGCCACCGCGTGTTCTGCAGCTCGCAGCCACGCATGGCGAAGTGGTCGACACACAGGCCACACTCCCTCCCCGCCACTGAACAAGCGCAGTCCATGCTGAGCAGGCTCGCATGCGGGCTTTCCAAGGAAACCTCGATCTTGGACTCCAAGACCCTCTTCGATGCCTCCTCCGCACCGGACTCCGCACTGGCCTCCGTCGGCGGCAATAGGGGTGGCGGTATTCTCCTCTGCTTCAGATTCGTCTCCCCGTCCAGCGACTTGGTTGAGACATAGAGCAGGCCCTGCTCCTCGGAGGACGCGACAGCGAGAAGGTCTGCCGGAACGGACTCTCCTTTAAACACGAGCACCAGGTCACCCACGCTGCACTCTTGCCAGCTTGCCTGCTGGAACACCATCGACCCTGGGTCGAAGCGGTGGAGCGGCCGCGAGTTCTCCAGGCGGTCGTCGCGCCGCCGCTTCTGGTCCTCGAAAAGATCCTTCAGGGCCTGCGCCAGCAGTATGCACGCGACCGTCATAACCTTGCTCTGCCACTTGCCTGGCCACAGCGGCGTACAAGACAGGACCGCGATGCTAGGGGAGCAAAAGAAAGCCCCCACACCCACCTGGCCCCCACTGCCCAAAGGAAGGTGGGGCCAGGAGTGGGTGGAGCATACTTCTTGTCGCTGTTGCCAAAAACTGTCACACTGGGTGGCCGAAACTCTCTGGCCCAGCCCCACAGGTGGGAAGGGAACCAGGTGGGGGTGGAGGTGCGCGTTCTTTCCCCGAGATGCAGACGAAGTACAAGTTGGCCACGCGCTTGAACTGCCACCACAGCGACTTGGGCAGCCAAGTCAGCGGCGTGAAGCGCGTGGTGTGGACCGCATTCGGATGGGGCCCATGCGGAAGCGAAGCGGCCAGCGGCTTCTGCGCTGGAATGATCCGCAGCCCAAGCCCGGTCTCCACGGCGGCCTCGTGCGCGGCGCCCACGTCCTCCGCTTTCTCCGCCTCCTCCCTCTCCTCCTCCTCCCGCTCCTCCTTCTCCTCCTCCTCCTCCTCCCCCTCCTCCTCCTCCTCCTCCTCCTCCTCCTCCTCCTACTCCTCCACCTCCTCCTCCTCCTCCCTCCACCTCCTCTCCTCCTCTCCTCCTCCTCATACTCATCCTCCACATCCTCCTCTTGTTTCCTCATCATCATCCAATTCCCCCCTCCCCCTCCTCCTCCTTCTCCTCCTCCTCATCCTCCTCCTCCTCCTCCACCTCCTCCTCCACATCTTCTTCCTCCTCCTCCTCCTCCTGCTCCTCCTGCTCCTACTCCTCCACCTCCTCCTCCTCCTCCTCATCCTCCTCCTCCTCATCCCTCCTCCTCGTCGCGGTCATCGTCGTCATCGTCGTCGTCATCTTCAGATCACCACACCACCACCACCACCACCACCACCACCATCATCATCATCATCATCATCATCATCATCATCATCATCATCATCATCATCAGCATCAGCATCATCATCGTCATCATCATCATCATCATCATCATCATCATCATCATCATCATCATCATCATCATCATCAGCATCATCAGCAGCAGCAGCATCAGCATCAGCAGCATCATCATCATCATCATCAGCAGCATCAGCATCAGCATCAGCATCAGCATCAGCATCAGCATCAGCATCCTCATCATCATCCTCATCATCATCATCATCATCACAGTCAGCATCATCATCATCGTCATCATCATCATCATCATCATCATCATCATCATCATCATCATCACAGTCAGCATCATCATCATCATCATCAGCAGCAGCAGCAGCAGCATCATCACTATCACCGCCACCACCACCACCACCATTATCATCAGTATCCTCATCATCACCACCACCACCACCATCATCATCAGAATCATCATCCTCATCATCAACAGTATTAGTATCATCATCATCAGCATCAACATCATCAGCAGCAGCATCATCATCAGCATCATCATCATCATCATCAGCAGCATCATCAGCATCATCGTCATCGTCATCGTCAACGTCATCAGAATCATCATCAGCAGCATCATCAGCATCATCAGCATCATTAGCATCATCATCCTCATCAGCATCATCGTCATCATCGTCATCATCAGCATCATCAGCATCATCGTCATCGTCATCATCAGCATCAGCATCAGCATCAGCATCAGCATCAGCATCTGCATCCGCAGCAGTACCATGGTCAGCATCATAATCGTCGTCGTCATCATCATCACCATCATCATCAGCATCAACAACATATCCTCATCATCGTCATCACCATCATCATCAACAACAACACCACCATCATCATCGTCATCAGCGCCAGCAGCATAAGCTGCCGCATCATCATCATCATCATCATCATCATCATCATCATCATCATCATCATCAGGATCATCAACATCATCATCAGCATCATCATCAGCATCGCGATTATTAGTATCTTATCATCATCGTGATCATCATCTGTTGCTCCTTCCCCTGAGCCCTCTTGGGAAGCCCTCTAGGGAGGCTGTGGAGTGAGCTGATCAGCCAGGCCGAGCAGGCCAAAACACGGGGGAAACAATTTCTCTCGGTGCCACCGCATGGCTAGACAACGACTCGGAAAGGCATAAGGCTCACAAGGTAGTCCTGGCCAGTCTAAACAGGCACACAAGGCAGCCCAGGACAGACTCTCCAACACCGCAACTTCGGGGAGCAGACGGAGGCGAACGTGGTCCCGAGACCGTCCCAGACCAGCCTGAGGACCTCTCGAGGCCAGCCAGGACTACACTCGGAGGCTGCTGGTGCGCGAGAAACCCTGCTCTTGGCGGCGCTCACAAGGGGGTAGGGGGAGAAGGGGAGCCCTGTATCTGTTGAGCAGGCCCGTGCCTTCTAAGAAGCAGGGGTGTTTCTAAGAAGCCTTCCCCCTCCCCCATACCACCCTCTGCGCGTGGCCGATATACTGCGTTTCGTAGCAACCGCTGGGGGGTCATATAGCCCCACGCCAGGGGCCAACCTCGCCTCGTCTGCACACCGCGCCACGGGGGTGGGGGGGCGCGGTCAGCGAGCGGTGCTCGCCCGCGACGGGGGGTCGGTGTGGGGGCTGCCGGCATGGGCGACGACCCCATCCCGGCGCTGCTTCCAAAGCGCAAGGCCCACACATCCGACGACGTGTCTTTTTCCCTGAGGCCCCAGAGATCCCGAGGTAAGACGAGGCCAGGACGATAATAGAATCGGGTGAGGATACATCGAGAATGTCCACGATCCGGCGGCACTGGAGGATGTATCGGGCGCCGCGGCCTCCTCAGAGCGTTCCGAAAAGCTCTGAGAGCGTTCCGGGACGCTCTGGAGCAGATTAATATTCGTCCTAGCCCAGTCCGACAAGTCCTTCCCCAGGGACAAATCTTCATCCTGGAACCAGACGTGATGGTCTTGAGGCCCGACAGAGGACCCCCGAGGCCGACATCGAGAAAAGAACGCCAGGCAGCGCGGCCTGCCCCGAGCTGGCGTTTCGGCGAGAGCCAGGCAGCACTGTCAGCTCCTAGAGCGGACGCCTTCCGTGAGCGGCACAGCTGGCTCGCTCTGGGCGAGCCGGCTGTGCAACGAGGACGCATCTCGAGCCAGCCCGTTCCAAACAACAAGAAAAAATTGTCCTCACAAAACTACATCCTCGTAGATTTGGGAAGTTGGCCACTCCCCTGGAGGACCCCGCACCCCCCTGCTCTCGAGCTCCGCAGGCGGCGCCTCCGCACTGGGGTCCGCCTCGCGCGCGCGCCCGCGGCGGGCGGCGCCGCCGCGGGTCCGCTCGGGAGGAGTGAGCTCCTTCTCCTCCTCCTTCTCCTCCTCCTCCTCCTCCTCCTCGTCCTCCTCCTCCTCCTCCTCCTCCTGTTCCATTCCTTCTCCTCATAGACAACTCCTCCCTCTCGCACCCCGAGGCTAGTTTTTAAGGCGGGCCGGGCGTTTCGCCTGAGACTTCCTCACCAGTTATGGCTCTGAAGCTCAAAAAGTGGCAACAGCTTCACAGATGGAGGGCGGGTGGTTTTCAATATGTGTCTCTCGCCTTAGCGCCGCGCGCATTCGTTTCAAAAATCTGCAGGTGCTTCACGGATTGAGGGCGGGTCGTTTTCAAAATGTGGCTATCGCCTGAGGCCGCGCACATTCGTGGCCAAAAAATCGTAAAAGTTTCACGGATTGAGGGCGGGTGGTTTTCAAAATGTGGCTCTCGCTTTTGCGTCGCGCCCATTCTTTTTACAAATTTGCGAGAGCTTCACGGATTGAGGGCGGGTCGTTTTCAAAATAAGGCTCTCGCCTTAGGCCGCGCACATTCGATATAGAAATTTGCAAGAGCTTCACGGATTGAGGGCGGATCATTTTCAAAATGTGGCTCTCGCCTTAGCGCCGCGCACATTCGTTTTAACAAGTTGCAAGAGTTTCACGGGTTCCCATGGTCAACGTACCAGAAATAGTGTTGTGGAAGGATCCAGGATTATGCGGGCGCAGCAGTTACGTTGATTCGATGGGTCGAAGTCCCAAAAATAGCGTTCTGGCACGATTTTAAATCGTCTAGACACAGCAAACAGGTTGATACGTGGCGTTGAAATCCCGAGAAGAATGTTTTGGCACGCTTCAGGATCTTCAATCTGTTGTCTTCCACCGAGGCAGTTCCCTCAATGGAAATGAACCGCTGTAGGGGCCTATGACGAGGAAGCTTAGAGGGAGGGTTAATGCCAACATCGTTGATAATTCTTGGGTTTCCCCTGGTCCTCCTCCTCCTCCTCCTCCTCCTCCTCCTCCTCCTCCTCCTCCTCCTCGGGGCTCGGGGCCTCCCGCGGCGGCCGCCCCAGGCAGCACGGCGCCGGCTGGCCCGCAGCCCGCATCCCGAGGCGGGGCCCGGCCTGAGAGGCGCCTGCCTCGCGGGGCGCGCCGCTGCCCTGGCCCGCCAGGGCGCCTACCGTGGGCGCGGCATTGCGCGGCGGGGCCTCCACGGAGGACGGCCCTCGCCGCCGTGGGGCGAGAGGAGGCCCCTCCAAGAAGCCCCCCGGGAGCCTCTCCGCGCGGACGCGTCGACCGATGCGAGAAGATACAACATAAGAAGAGGAAGCAGACAAGAAGAATAAGATGCTCAAGCAGAAAATGAGCACGAAAATCAAAAGTAATAAAACTGATATACATATACACACAAACGATAGCACAAAAATAGACAACACACAAAAAAAACATACTATTCAGAAAAAAGACGATGGTGAAGATGAAGATAGACATGGATATGAAAGATGAAGATGAAGATGAAGATGAAGATGGGGATGAAGGTGAAGATGAAGTTGCAGATAAAGATGAAGATGAAGATGAAGATGAAGATGAAGATGAAGATGAAGATGAAGATGAAGATGAAGATGAAGATGAAGATGAAGATGAAGATGAAGATGAAGATGAAGATGAAGATGAAGATGAAGATGAAGATGAAGATGAAGATGAAGATGAAGATGAAGATGAAGATGAAGATGAAGATGAAGATGAAGATGAAGATGAAGATGAAGATGGAGATGAAGATGAAGATGAAGAAGACGAAGATGAAGATGAAGATGAAGATGAAGATGAAGATGAAGATGAAGATGAAGATGAAGATGAAGATGAAGATGAAGATGAAGATGAAGATGAAGATGAAGATGAAGATGAAGATGAAGATGAAGATGAAGATGAAGATGAAGATGAAGATGAAGATGAAGATGAAGATGAAGATGAAGATGAAGATGAAGATGAAGATGAAGATGAAGATGAAGATGAAGATGAAGATGAAGATGAATGAAGATGAAGATGAAGATGAAGATGAAGATGGAGATGAAGATGAATATGAAGATGGAGATGATGATGATGATGAAGATGACGATTACGGAAGCGATGAAGGTAAAGATGACGATGACGATGACGATGGCGACGAAGATGGAAATGACGAAGGAGATGCTATAAATGTAAAAAACAGATTTACAAGACTGCATTGGCGCTGCGCGCCATGCACCTTGGTCCTTTGAGTTCTGCACGCAAGCGGAATGCGTGCGTGCGTACATGCGCGCATGCATGTATACACGCGCACGTGCATGCACGTTCCGTATAAATGTCTGGGTGTATACAATATACTTACATTGTTTATATGTGTGCATACGGCGTACATATGTACATATACATGTATGTGTGTAAGGGTATGAACATGCATATGCAACTCGTACGGGGCATCCTCGGGCATCTCCGCTGCATGCCACGAGACCCTCAACGACTGGGTCACTATGTGAAATGTCATGGGAGCAAAATCAATGAATGTTGGCATTCGGAAACATCGTGGGGGCGTTTTCGGGGCCCTCGTGGGTCGTTTTGGCGCCTTCATGGGCCGTCCTGGGGCCTTATTGGGCCGTCTTGGGGAGCTTGGGCCCGCTGGAGCCCCCTTTGGACCCATCTTGGGCACTTCCGGGGATCTCCCATGGCCCTTTTGGGTCTGTGCTGGGAGCCCTTGGGGGGCCTCTTGGTTCCATTATGGGCTGTCTTGGGGCTCTCGTGGGCGATCGTGGGGCCCGGCTCGACCGTCTTGAAGCTTTCTTGGGGGCCTTTTGGAGCGTCTTGAGGCGATCTCGAGGGCTTTGAAACCGTCTTGAAAGCTGATGGAATCCGAAAGGCGAATATGCTAAGATTGTACGTTTTACGAAGCAAATGGAGCGATTTTTGTGCTTTGAATGCCCCTTGGAAAGCTTTTTGGGGTGCCTAGGGGGTCTTTCTGTTGGCATTCGGAAACATCGTGGGGGTGTTTTCAGGGCCCTCGTGGGCCGTTTTGGCGCCTTCATGGGCCGTCCTGGGGCCTTCTTGGGCCGTCTTGGGGAGCTTGGCCCCGCTGGAGCCCCCTTTGGACCCATCTTGGGCACTTCCAGGGACCTCCCATGGCCCTTTTGGGTCTGTGCTGGGAGCCCTTGGGGGGCCTCTTGGTTCCATCATGGGCTGTCTTGGGGCTCTCGTGGGCGATCGTGGGGCCCGGCTCGGCCGTCTTCAAGCTTCCTTGGGGGCCTTTTGGGGCGTCTTGAGGCGATCTCGGGGGCTTTGAAACCATCTTGAAAGCTGATGACATCCAAAAGGCGAATATGCTAAAATTGTAAGTTTTACGATGGGAATGGGGCGATTTTTGTACTTTGAAGGCCCCTTGGAAAGCTTTTTGGGGTGCCTAGGGGGTCTTTCTATTGGCATTCGGAAACATCGTGGGGGTGTTTTCAGGGCCCTTGTGGGTCGTTTTGGCGCCTTCATGGGCCGTCCTGGGGCCTTATTGGGCCGTCTTGGGAGCTTGGGCCCGCTGGAGCCCCCTTTGGACCCATCTTGGGCACTTGCGATCGTGGGGCCCGGCTCGGCCGTCTTCAAGCTTCCTTGGGGGCCTTTTGGGGCGTCTGGAGGCGATCTCGGGGGCTTTGAAACCGTCTTGAAAGCTGATGAAATCCGAAAGGCGAATATGCTGAAATTGTAAGTTTTACGAAGGGAATGGGACGATTTTTGTGCTTTGAAGGCCCCTTGGAAAGCTTTTTGGGGTGCCTTGGGGGTCTTTGGGGCCGTCCTGACGCAATTGGAGTCCCCCTTGGAGCGCTCTTGTGCTGTCTGGGGCCTCCCTTGAGCCTTTCTGATGACCCCTCGGATCGCTCTGGGTCTGCTGGCAAAGCGTTTGTGGAGACCCGGAAAGCCGGGTGACCTTTTCCAAGGACGTCCAAGGGAGCCCGAGAACCCAAGATCCCGGGGGTCCAGTTTTGGGGGGTGGGTGAGGGTTGTTCCCCCCCCCGGGCTTGTAAAAGTATAGGAAGAGGAATGAACAATGAGAATAAAGATGAAGATGAAGATGAAGATGAAGATGAAGATGAAGATGAAGATGAAGATGAAGATGAAGATGAAGATGAAGATGAAGATGAAGATGAAGATGAAGATGAAGATGAAGATGAAGATGAAGATGAACATGCAGATGCAGATGCAGATGCAGATGACGATGAAGACGATGATGAAGATGAACATGAAGATGGAGGTGAAGATGAAGATCAAGATGACGATGAAGTAGTAGGTAGCTATTCAGGCGGAGATGATAATGAAGGTGAACGTGAAGATCAAAAATAAACTGAAGATGATGGTGAAGGTGAAGATGAAGAGGAAAATGGAGGTGAAGACGGAGATGGAGATGAAGATGAAGGTGAAGACGAAGATAGATATGCAGATGAAGATGAAGATGAAGATGAAGATGAAGATGAAGATGAAGATGAAGATGAAGATGAAGATGAAGATGAAGATGAAGATGAAGAAGAAGACGAAGATGAAGATGAAGATGAAGATGAAGATGAAGATGAAGATGAAGATGAAGATGAAGACAAAGGTGAAGCTAAAGATGGGGATGGAGGTGAAGGCGAAGATGAAGATAACTATTAAGATGATCATGAAGATGATGATAAGGATGAAGTGAAGATGAAGAGAAAGATTGAAGCGAAGGTGAAGATGCAAATGATGAAGGTGAAAGTGAAGGTGAAGATGGAGATGAAGATGAAGGTTGGGGTGAAGACGCAGATGAAGATGAAGATGGTGATGGAGATGCAGCTGGAGATGAAGAAGAAGAATAACCAGCAGAAAAAAATAAAACGATTATGAAAAGGAAGAAAGGAAACAAACATAAGCCAAAGGTGAAGATGCCAATTAAGACGATGATGGCAAGGAGAGAAGCATAATACAAAGATGCAGATGAGGCCGAAGATGAAGATTAAGATAAAAGCGAAAGGTGAAAATGAGGTTGGATATGGCGACGTAGGTAAAGAAAAAAACATGTTGTGGATTAAGATGAAGATGCAAGCGAAGATCAAGATAAACATGAAGATGATGACGATGATGTTGATGATGAACATGGAACGAAAATGAAGTTCGATATCCAAATAAAATGTCGGCGAATATGAAGATGGAGATGATGACGAAATAAAGATATGATGGTAACGAAAACGAAGATGACGTAGAATATGAAGATGATGACGGGTATGAAGATACATGTGAAGAGGAAGGGGGAGAGGAAGATGGAAAACCATATGACGATGCACGAAAAGTACACATGATAGAAAGAGAAAAGCAAACAAAACGGATACAGATGCTGGAGAAGAAAAAGAAGACAAAAAAAAAATTATAATGAAGAGGACAAGAAACAAGCTGAGCGAGAAGGAGATGGAGCGGGGAGAGGAAAAGGGAAAGGAGGAGGAGGAGGAAGTGGAATAACAAATAAAAAAGGGAAGAAGGGAAGCCTCTGAAAAATCTCGCGAGGGGGTGGATCCTCAACGCCAGCGCCATTCGGAAGGGCGCACCAGGGTGCCGGGGGCCCACCAGCGAGTCGAGATCGGCGCGCTGCCCCCGACAAGCTGAGACCCCAGCACCCAGGGGATGGAAGATCCAAGTAATTAGGCGAGAAGAGAAAAGCGGGCCCTGCGGCTTACGCTCCAAGGCATGGCGACCTTCCCTGATTCCCGACGACATGAACTTTCCAACCGGCGCTTTTTCTTTGATTTGAGCCCTCGGGGGCCATCTCCGGGCCCGGGACCATCAAGCATGGATCCGGCGCGGAAAATTGCCGCCTGGGAAGCGGTCGACACCTCTGGGGCCGCGGATTGAAACAAAACCTTGGCGCGGACGCCAAAAGGCTCGGCGCGTCGCACCGCGACGATGGGTGCGGCGCTCGACCCTGGCCGCGCGCAGCGGTGCCCCGAGCCGACGGTGGCTCGGGCACTCGCCTGCGTCGCCGGCCTAGCCGAACGCCCAACGCGAACGCCCCAAGCCGAATGGCCGCCAAGAGCGGCGGGCGGGCAAAAGCCGCACCGCAGGTGCCCCTCGCCGAACGTGGCGGGACACCCCACCCAGCCGAGCGTGCGCGGCGCCCCTCCCAACCCTGGGCGGCACACACGCCCCCTCGCGCGCTCGCCCACGCAAGCAGGGCGGACTGCGCGACACCTTGCGCCCATCGCTTGGGCTCGCGTAGCCACGCGACGCTGCGCGTCGCGCGGCGCCCCCAT